TTGATGCTGTCACCAGGTCAAGCATAATTCTTAGCAGATAGAGAAGTGGAGGATTTATCTCCTGTGCATAGCACACTGCTCTTAAGGATGCTCTGCCACAAGAACCTGCAGAGTTCCTCTCACTTTCCTTGGTGTTTTAATGCTGCAGCTGCACTGTGAACCTCCTAACAGGCACTAGGCTTGTTTCTGCAGCCCTGCAAAAGGGGCTCCTGTGAGAGGATTGTGAGGGGGTCTGTGTTTTGAGCGGCAATAGAGGAACATCCTGCAGAGCTCCTTGGGAAACTGCTGTGAGTGTTGGAGGCTCAAACAGAATTGGGGAAGCGGGTTCAATAGGTGATTCAGTGCTGCTGTGTGCGGAGAAAAGCCAGGAGAGGAAGAGAAATAGCTCTCTCCTTGGTTTTCTTGCTAGAACAGGCATTGAGTACTTAGGATTTGCCACCAATGAAGCACCTGAATGAGCTTCATGAGGAGCCTCTCTAGGCTTTGCAGTGGCCTGGAAGCAGAAATGGGATTGTTCTCTCCAGGGATGATCTCAAAGAGATCCAGGCTACGACAGTCTCTAACGCTTTGAACCACCATAGCTGTTTGCAGAGCAGCAAAGCACCCACTTAGGAAATGCCAGATAGGTCACACGCAACGCGACACCTGGACAGCCTTTGGTTCCAGAGCCTGGCAGTGGGGCCATTCTCCTCCTGAAGATGTATCTCAGGAGAAGGCCCTCTTGCTCCTCCTGGCCGCAGGGACGGGGTTCCCAGCAAGCATCGTGCACGGTGACGATAAGGCACGTCCTGCAAGACCTCCAGAACTCTGTGATACATCAGATATGTAACCTAGAGCCATCCGGGCTTGTGCTAGTGCTCTCACTGAGAGAGATATGCTATAGAGGGACAGAAATGCTATAGATAACATAACTGGCTGTGGATGAAACAGAAAGAGGTTTTCCACGTAATTCTACCCAAGTGATTGCTTGATGCCATGTCATACATAAATGTATACTTATTTTCTTCCTAAACTACAAGTTCCTTGTATAACTATTGAATTAAATGTGCTAGCTTCTAGTTTCAGCTCTGTCTCTGTAAATTCGGAACAACTCCAAAGCAGGTTAGGGCCAAAGAGAGTAAGAAACTTTGCATTTAAAATGACTTGGCTTCTGATTCGTTGCCTTAGCCTCAGCAGAAATAAACTAGAAAGCAATCAAGATTGTATTTTTCAACAGCTTTATTATAAATATGTCATCCTTTTTTATGACTTCTGAACTGACTTTTATCACCATTCATTTATATAATTACGTGGCACCTCAGCCTGGTGTCTGTGCATGGGAAATGAGCCCATCTCTTAGCTACTGAGGGCTATGAAAACCTCACAAGTGGGAAAGTCAGATGTCTGTCTAATGTAGAGTGCGTGTTTGACCAAACCAGACAAGGAGAAGCAGTTCAGTGACACATGCGCTGCAACACACACTGCATCACTTTTGTCTGTTGCACAATTTCTGCTTCTTAGGATGCAAGTAGATTAACATCTTTATTCGTGTCTGTCAGGGCGCTGAGTCAGTCATGGCTATGAAGATGGCAGCTAGCTGGGGCAGGAAGGCCATGGATTTCTGAAGTCTTCAGGATAGATGAGATCCAGTGCTGGGGTGCAACCATGGTAGTTTTTACCAGCATTTCCCAAGTATGTCTATTTTAGGCATAAGGAAGCTCCTCCTTTTGTGTGAATTTATCTACTACCTAAATGCCGACCTCCAGAGATTTCCTTCTCTCTCCTGTCCTCCTCCAATGTCCTATCTCTGGTTTCTGTCCCCTGTGTTTCATCTCAGCGATTTTGCTGCTGGGTAATGTGCACATCCTCCTTTTTCTTCTCATTCCCTCCCTCTTTCAGTTCTGGCAGTTTTCCAGTGGAGAAATCTTGACCTTATCTCCAATTCCTTGCATTTCCTCCCCTTCAGCTAATTGTATCGATGAACTCTGCCCATTTTCCTCTACCTCATCCTCCAAAGCTGGCCGTGCATCCTGCTGACTACATTGTCTTTGGTTTTTCCCCTTGATTACTACAGATTCCTTATTTTTCTGGTCTCCTTCATGTTTGCCTAAGCCCAAGAAGCAGATATAAGGCTGTCTAAAACATTTTTGGGAACTGTGCCAAAATCGGGGAATTGAGCATCTAAACCTTTTCAAAACTCTGTCCCTTTGTCTTTTTTATGTCTGGAAAGAGAATTCTCTAAGCGGGCATCTATACAATAAAACTGCAAGTATGATTATAACTGTTAAGGCAGCCTTAGCTGCGAGGAGTCCTGCCTTTTCCCTAGCAGCATGCGAGATACTGGATGTATCTCACGATGGCAGGAGAACGCCTGGTTTGTTCCCCTGCTTTCTTTATGCGTTTGGTCTCCTGTCCAGGAGATGTGGGGCTGACATCCCTCGCACTGCTCAGGGTGTTGGGGGTCTCCGCGGCTGGCACTTTCGTCGGAGAATCTATTACATGATTAGCTGCCATGGGGGAGGATTAATCTCACCAGCTTGGACATCCACTGCAGTTTGCTGGGATTTTTTGGCTTCCAGCCTAAGAATCAAGGACTGTGTGTGCTTCAGAAAAGAGTCATCTGGTTTTGAGGCTCTGACATCTTTGATAGTTGAGACCTACTCCCTCTTTGTGGCATTCCCATTTTTAACATCATGTTTATCTTCTTGAGACAAAGTCTGCACCTGTGTTGGAGCAGAGCTCATCCTTTGCCACATTTCAGCCTCTCCTTCAAGCAGGACACTGCCGCTTTGAGCATTTTTTGTGTGGCACAATATCCACAGTGTCTTATGCTTGTACAATGACGAATTTTTTATCATGCCAATCATCCATTAAGCATGATCAAATTCCTTGAAAAGAATTTCTCTGTAATCTTTGTGGTTTCATATGTATTCTGTAATAACTTTTAGAGTGGCTATCATCATGAAAATGTTTAGTAGCTCATTAGTGACTTCAGTTTTATGAGGAGAAGCTATTGCTGCCTGTCATTCTGAAAATTACGATCTACCCAAGGCTGGTCAGAAAAATATATTTAAAATGTTGCCAACTGCAGGATCCAGCAGGATTCCTACTATTTTGACAGTTTGCTGCCTACTCAGATGAAGTATTGGATGTTCAGCCTTTGCTTGATATTCTTGTATTCCTTCTAATGAGGCCTGTGGGGAGAACTATATCAAGTGTGGTTGGCGACCAGAAAATCCCGAATATTTGGCTTTCAGTTGCTATGATTGTGCTCAGTCATGGAGAGAAGACAGCTTTCACGCTGAAGCCGGAGGAGCTGTGTGTGATTCTGCAGGGACTCTGTCGCATTTACCGGCTCCAGGAGAACCAGTCGTGCAGTCCTGGTCATAGCTCTAGACCAGGTGCATCCTCTCTGCCTGTCCTACGGAACATTAAAGGCGTCGATAACTGAAGAAGTGGCCTCCAGCCAAACAGCTTTCACAGCCTGGGCAGGAACGCAGGAACGTACAGTTTTTACTCCATCGATGGAATAAATACAGTAAACACACTGCCAACACTGAGAGACCCCGGGTCCCAGGGACACTCGCATCTGGCAGGCCCAGGCCCACGTGCGGCCTGCAAGTGCCCCTGGGTCTCTCAGCGCTGGCAGTCTGTTAAACCTCTTTGTAGATTTATTGAGGAGTTACTAATTCTGTTTTTTTTTTCCTGGCATGCCTAGCCCTCAAAAGGAAATTACTTTGTCACCAGCAACTCAGTTCATAAAGGTTGATGGGAAGCTGTTAGGGGTAAATAGCTGTTGGTCATTACATGGGTTAAGTACGGACCAATGGCTTAGAGATGAAAGACTCCTCGTCTTTCATACTATTTTTATTCTTGGCCTAATGGATTAGCCCATCTTTTTCTTTATTATTCACACACGAACACTTTCTTTTCGCTAATAAAAAAGCCCCCCAAACCTAAAGCATTTGGAAAGCTAGGAAATGGCGAAGTGCTTCTCCGTTGGTCCTGCTTTCTCACATGACTAATTTACCGACCTTGGCTTAGAAGGCAAAGTGAGGGGATGAGACTTGAAACACTGTGTTTTTAGACATAGAAAAGATGGTAATGGAGTGCCCCATGCGCTGCGTGTGAAAGCATTCCTGTAATGGTGCCACATACCACTCTGCCTTCCTAATTTGCCTTCACAGGCCCCCAGTATAATCATTCTTTGTGTTTCCTAAAGGACTTGAAGACTAGATATGAGTTTGATCAATGGATTCATTGTTGATTTCTTCCACTGCTGCAGTGCAAATGCACAAATATTAGGAACAGGCAGGGCCCATCTCTCTGAGTGAAGACACTGTGTCTCACCTAATGAGAGGCCTTTAAAAACAGGAAAGTCATATTAAAAATGCTTACAAGTCTGCTTTGAAGGCAGGAATCTTTTGTAAAATTTAACTTCTGTATCTTTCCTGATGGGATCCTCCTTGCAGGAGAACTGGCCAGCATTTTGCAAACGACCCTAGCCAGTACTAGGTTTGGACATATGTTTGTTTTAAGGTTGCCTTCACAATTTTCTCTGTAGCTGAAGATTAGTACTTGACCGCCATGCGAAAGCATTGCCAAAAAAGCAGTAATGTTACACTAACTGTTTTTTTCCTGTTGAAACTTCTTAGAAATGACCAACTCATGCTGGAAAATCATCTTGTTTGCAGTGTGTTCTTGGCTAGAAGGATGAGAACTGTTTGATCTTCTCTTTATAGAAAGTTATCCTAAGTGACCAAAAAGATTTCTTGAACATATTTAGCCTTAAACCAGGTTGGTCTTTTGCCTCTGTGTACCTCAACCGCTAGGCTTAAATGGAGTTAAAATCAAGGAGAAAGGGGTCATCTGAGGAAGGGGTCTTGTCTTTTGTCTCTGCAAGTGGCTGAAGGATATGGAATTAGCGAGCAGGTAGTGCTCCTATTTTCTGGATATTTTCTTCTTCTTGCTTAAATCCCTCAAAGGGAATTAAATCACATGTACTTTCCTTATTTCAACAGGGACCAGCCCGCATGACATCTGACCTGGGGTCTTCTCCTGCAGCAGGGTATGTCCCTGTTGGTCAGAAACCAGAGGCTGTCGTGCATGCTATGAAGGTAAGGGTATCTCAAACGACCATGTTGCTTTCCAGCAAGCACAGAAATGTCATAACTGGATATTTTCTCTTCTCATGAAATCATGATGATAAGAAATAGAAACTTAGAACTCGGGCAGGTTACTGGTTACCAGGATTTATATAATGATGAATAATCATTGCCTCAAATGGCTGGAGTTAAGAAAACTTGCACATGACTAATTTTGGAGTGAGATACCTTCAGCAAAACCTTTGATGCTAAAGGTGTTGGAAACCCTTTCTATTTAGCATTCCCTGCTTGCTGGGGTAGAGGAGAGAGTTGTGCTGAAGAAACAGAAAAATGTAATAGCTTGGTGTTACATATTTTAACAGTTAAGCAAGTTATTTTTGAGTATCTGAAAGACACAGAAATGCAAATGCTTCCCAGGTCATCTTAGATATGGCTGAAAAATCTCTAAATAAATTAGATTTTTGTTTCCATTGATTTGTTGAACCTGAAAAGTTCTGAACGAGTTTAAAAAGCTTTCACAAAATCAAAGTGAGATTCCCAGGGGCCCAAAAAGCTGAAGAAAAGTTTCAGCCATGGGATTGCTTCAATAGCACTGGCTGAGACTGTCCTACAAGAAACTAGTGCTAACTTTGCTTTGCATGTTTTCACATCTGACATCTAAATGGCACAAAGTTACCTCTAGGACAGACCTGTGAGGTGGCAGTAGTAAAGTCAGCACTTGATGAGTAGTCAGGAGAAGAGGAGCACAGCTGGCAGGAATATCAGTGCCACTGAGCTGTGGAAGATCCTTGGAGGAATTTAAGTTTCAGAAACACCATGTGTTGGTATTTCTGAAGTAGTTCATCTTCTATGTATTTATGGTGTGTGAGAAATTATGAAAAGAAGGCAAGTAGGATTTGATTTGGATCAAACCTGAATTCAAATTTATAGACGTTCCCTCAAACCAGAAATTTTGATTTTTTTCAGATTGTTTGAGACCTTATTTACCCAGATCATATAACTCTGTGCATCTTAAGAGATGCATTGCCACCATCCACATCTATCTTTAATTGAATTTTTACTACATCCCTAAGGAACCTTGACTGAACAGGCAGCAGTTCAGTTGCCTACATTTTTTTCCCAGTATTTACTGGATAAATTTCTTCTTTGCTTGCCCTGAATGGTTCTGTGTGATCAGAATGTTGTTGTTGCCCATCCTGCACTGTGCTGCAGTTCAACTGTGGGTGAAATTACTCCTGTACATGTATGTATCTTTTAAGCTGTGATGCCATCCAGAATGTAGCAGAACTGTGTGATGCTTTTGGTTTTCCTGCATTTTGTACCATGTTTCCTCTCACTACCATTGTTTTGCTATTTATATGGCCTTTTCTGCCATAACTGTGGCACTTGGTTCTTTCTGCTTCCCTCTTCTTGTGGCCCATCAAAATTGTAGGTTTTGGTCTCAAGCAACAATCTTAAACTGGATAGAAGATAGTTTAGGTAATTTTTGGTTCTGTTTTTTTTTTAATTTTTTGGGCCTTGGTGTGCTGTAGCTGTGGAATAGGCCTTATCTGCACTTTGAGGATCTGGACATCATTTTCAGTGCCAGCCCCCATGAGGAGAACTAGAAGCAGCTACCAGGTTAGACCGTGCACAGCCTGTGAACCAGCACCTGGCCTTCCCTTGGCAAGGGAAGAGAGTGGCCTGCAAATGAGACTCTGCTTTGGATATGTGACATGTAATATTAGAAAAAAAGCTTATCTATCTTGGTCACGTGAAGATGTTTTGTGACTGTAGCAGGCTAGCCCCTTGCTGAGAGGAGAAGCAGGGGCAGACACAAGTTTGCAATGTGGGAGCAGCTGGTGCTGCTCAGCTGCAAGTCCAGAAGCTGCATGGGCATCGCAGCTCGGTGCCCAAGCAAAGGCACTGGGCTCTGTGCTTACTTGGGCTTGCAGTCAGGATCTGGAGGGTTTTCAGGACAGATCTGGCGTGTGTCTGCCCAGCTAGGAGAAGCAACAGGGCTGGATCACTGACCTCTATGGCCATCTGGGTAGACGTCCCCCAGGTTTTTTGCTTGACTTTTTTCCTGCAGCTGAATGTCTCGTGGCTGAAAGGCTGCTTTTCATTTAGCCCAAGCTCATTCTTGAGAATGTTGAAGTGTTTTCTTTATTTTTTTCTTCCCAAATCGTTTTTGTTTATTTGCACCTAATAAATAAGGAGCAAGATGACAGGTTGGTGTGCCTAACAACTGTTCCCGCTAACGAGAATAAAAGGTACATATGCTACATCTCAGTATCTCACTGAACATCAAAGCACTTTTCTTAGGAGCTGAACAAACCTGCTAAAGATAGGGGGAGATGATAAGGAGGCAAATGTAAGAAAACAACTTTTAGAGCACAATCCAATTCCCCAGCAGTCTGTTGGGTGTTCTTCTGAGGGTGTCAGCGGCCAGAAAGGGGGTGGATGCCGCGGCTCGGGTGGCCGAGGCGGAGCGGTCTCGGTGGCAGTGGACAGCTAAGGACAGCTGGGGTGTCCCCACAGCTTGCAGCCCAACACGGAGCGGGCCAGGGGAGCCGGTGCGCGCCGCTGAGCTGCCCTCCACCTGCTTAACACAGGAGATGGCTGGAAAAGACAATCACAGCAGGAACAGGACCTCCTCTTCAGGAGGTGCTTTTGCTCTTCAGGGCGCGTTTCCTTCCAGTGCACCTTGCTGGCATCAGCTCTTGAATTTTACCCTCCCAATCCCTTTTTTTTCTGAGCCCAAGATGCTAACACATCTTCACAAAGATGTCTACTCAGAAATGGGCTTTGCCCTGGGCAGAGGGAAGGTTTCCAGGGTTAGCAAGTCCCTCATCCTTCAGAAGTGATATACAACCCTAATGTCTGACTCAACAGCCTTCAGCTCTTCCTGTGCTCTGTTTATGCTATTAAAATACATTTCCACTGGAAGAAATGGGCTGCACCACCCTTTCACACCTCATGGAATGAGAATGCAGTTTTATTTGAAGTGGAAGCTATAGAAAAGCAGTTTATTTTTCTCCTCTGAGACTCCTGTGCCAGCAAGATTGATGGCCAGGGGAGGCAGATGCTGGAGTTGATGTGATCTTTAACTAATCCAAAGCACCGTTGTCCTTGACACTTGCCCTGTAGACACAGCCAGTTCTAGCTGCTCCGCAGCCGTCCTGGCGCGCGGCGCCGAGGTCTGGTGGTGCAGGCGGTGGCTCATCAGAAACGCCCTCACTCCAGACAGGCAAATGCGACGTGCGAGTCCAGCTGGATCAATAATTAATTCCCTCCTCTTTAGCAAAAAATAGATGTTCTCTCTGTCAGCTCCTACATGGGTTTTGCATGTCTCTTGCCCTTCCTGCTCGCGTAGAAAGGATGTGGATATTCGTATTTGTATAAAGATTGAGCACAGATATGTTGGTTAAACTAGCCAGGGCATTTTAGAAGTAGGTTAAGAGCCCTAGGAGAATGACCTATTTTTGTAAGTTAAGCAGTCAGAATACAGCAAGGCTGCCGTGCTGAAGCCGCCCAGCAGATAATCCAGTCTGGTCTCCCGTTTCTTGGAGCAGTCAGTGCTGTTTGCCTCAGCAAAGGGTGAAGCCCTTCCCTGCTTACAGCTCTGTAGCTCCTTAGCAGATAGACAAATATTTGGCGTGCAACTACACCTGCTGTAGAGATTTGTGTGTGTGGAGATATGTCTGACACATGCTGAGTAAGAAACGATGCACTCATGGCACTGGATGGTTTCAGGGTCTCTCACACTGTACGCTGAGATGGCCACATTCTTCACGAGTGCCAAAGCCCTGGGTGAGTTATGTAGGTCAGGGCAGATGTACCCGTGCACCGTGCTGCGCCTGCCTCGTGCAACACACTCCTCTGGAGAAGCTAGTTTTGGGTGCACGGGAAGACTTTTGGAATGCGGATGCCAGGATATTTCTGTGGATCCGCATGATTCCAACGGGAAGCGAAGGCTGCCTTTAAGGCCACGCTGCTTCAAACCACCTCTCAGCCAACCTCATGGCCTGGGGATCGTAGCTTAGGGAATATAAGCCTAAGTGTTACCTAAAAAAAAGAGAAAAAAAAAAAAGGCATTTTTTTCATTATAAGGAAAGCAACATAATTTCCAACCACTGTCAACTCAAAATCTAGTTTAAGGGAGTAAGTGACAGGCGGGGCGTTTCTGTTATTTTTGCAGGGGGACCTGGGGTCCTTCCGGAGCAGATTTGCTCCTGTTCCTCAGGCCCCCCTGCCAGGGTGTCCCAGCCCCGACCGTGTGGAGCACGGGAGCTCGGGGAGCGCTGAGCCCGTGTCCCAGCACGTGGGCTCGGGGAGCGCTGGCCTCCTCAGGCTGCGGCCTCGGTGCTGGCCCGTGACCGCTGCTTGGGCAGGAGCCCATCGCGTAGCCCCCGTGCTGGGAACGTCCGGGGCTGGGGCGACCTCCCGCGCCGAGGGCGGCCCTCAGCGTTCCTGAGTGCTGTGGCTGCTGTACACGGGGTGGGCTTAAATGCCTGGAGAGCCGGGAGCACAAGTTCCTGACAAATATCCTGAGTCTTGGACTGTTTGGGGGCCTGGCAGAGCCAACTGAGCATGTTTTTAGTGCTGGGTCCTGTGGGCTCCTGGTGAAGCAGCTAAGGCAGATGACCTAGTAGCTCCTCGGGGAACGCTGCGCCCGTGTCCCAGCACGGGAGTTCGGGGAGCGCTGAGCCCGTGTCCCGGCACGGGAGCTCGGGGAGCGCTGGCCTCCTCAGGCTTCCTGTTTTTGCAGTGCTTTCCTCCCGTTATTTTTGTGGAAAAGCTACATAGTCCCAAACAGGAGATACAGGAGAGCTAAGCCCTAACTCACCTTGAACGCGATGTGGGGAGGCTGCTGCAGGCACCTGTGTGGTCCCCTTGCGTGTCACAGCATGGCCAGTCCTGAGAGGAGAGAGAACACAACCAAGCTGCTTGTGTAGGAGCAGGCCCGCCCAAGTGGGTGTTTGTGGCATTCGGCCACATTTGTACCAGGTGATCTCATTAAACAGATGGTAGCTTTAGGGGTCTGTGTGCTCACACTTGCATATTGGTCCCTGGCCAAGTATCACATATTCCCTTATATTTACATCAGAGGGTCTTTGCAGGTCTTTGGAAAGGACCTTCAGAGGCCGATAGTCAGTGCTCGAGGGCCTGGGGTGCAGCAAATGGTGTTCAGTGCCCTGCCGAGCCGGGCTGATGCAGCCTCAGGAGGGAGCGAGCTGGAGCGGGGAATCATTTGGGGCTGGCTGGGTGCTGCCTACGTGGTGGCCATCCCTCTCACTTGCTCACTGTCACGATGGGCCTGGGAAGGGTTCCTCTGAGAAAGTAAAGCGTCCGAGAGCACTTTTGTGTCAAAGGTGAGTGAAATTGTCGCTTTAAGCTCTCAGAACTCATGGCTGATCGGGGCTGTGCGGACGGTGCCGTGGTGCCCCACTCCTCTGGCACTGTTCCCACCACGCAGGGGAAGGTGGGAGGATGATGAGACTCAGTTTCATGCTTGTCCTTGAGATGCTCTGGATCTCAAGGCTTTATGAATCCTGCCAATTTAAATACTAGTTAATGACATTAACTGTTTGAGGAGCGTAATGCTTTTGTAATGTTGTTTCTCTGTAGGTCCTTGAGGTCCATGAAAATTTGGACAGGCAAATGCAAGATAACTATGAAGAAGACCTGAGTGAAAAGGAGAAGGCGATTGTTCGAGAGATGTGCAATGTAATCACTTCTTTCAGTAATTCCAGTAATTGTTGTGTTCGCTTGCTCCAAGTACCGAGCACTGTTCTGCATATGAATGTTTGCCCTGAAATCCTTGGGGAAGTCCAGACGGGAGGGAAGAGTCAAGGCCCTGCTGACTGCTGCTCGGGGTATCAGCAGGTTGACAGGGCCCGGGGCAGCCCTTGCCCTGCAGCTGCTCCCCAGGGCGCCGCACGGGCGCCCGCGCCGGCCGCGCCGCAACCTGAGCTTGCCACGTACTGGGCGCTGAGCGTTCGGAGCAAAGCTCTGCTCCGCAGTGCTCGCCTGCTGTGCTGCTACCTCCCATTTCCAGCCCAGCCTACTAGTAAGAGAAATACACTGGCTGGGCATTGGCTTTGAGCAAAGAAATTTGGGCTTCGCAAGAACATTGCTCAGAGTGTGACGTGCAGTCGGGGATTTGCTGTTCGACAGGAGCAGCAGTTCCCCCAGCACAGAGGAGGAGCCTTACGGAGCTCTCCCTTTTAGAAGTCCAGATTGGGGGTGAGCACAAGTGGACCTTTCTGTGCATCACAGCAGCAGAGAGAAGCCTAATCCTCCGTTGAAGTTCTGAAATTGCTTGCAGTGAGGTCTTGCAGCAGTGCTGTAGCATTAAGCCACACTATGGAGGGCATCTTACTGTATTGTGACTGCATCTTTACAGATACAATGACAGAAGGAACAAGATAGAGCTTTCCTTCATGCAAACAGCAGGAAAAAAATCTTAAAAGGCAAAGGAAAAAATCACCTCAATTCTATAAAGAGGGTGCAAAAGATGTAAGTGTCTCACACAGCTAAACCACCAAAGCATTCTGGCAAGGGCTGAGGCAGTGGCTCTCGGTTGCTCCAACCTCTGTAAGTGACACCAAGAACAAAATAAATGAGGGCCTGTTTTTTAACTTATTTGGTCTGCTTAATGGCCCCATTCTCTTGCAGCCTTGCAGAGGGAAAGGGAAAACACTGTTATCTTCCCCCCCATTTATGTTTGTCTAACATAAGATATGGTTTTTTAAATATTCATTTTATGTAAGTGGCTACAAAGTGCTTTGCAGTTTCTTCTGATTTTAAGAGCCCTACTTTCCCCTATGGGCCTGGAGAGGCCATGATGTTTCTAGAAAGTTGTAGATACAATTTTAATTGCGATCTTTTTTATTATCTTTTTTGTTCATGGTAACATCATTTCAGTGAGTATGACAGGGCTGACCTACCATTGAACTTAACTTCCAAACGTTGTGTATTTGGTTTATATTATTACCCCAGGCAAAACCAGTTCTAATTTCAAGAGAAACTAATTAGAAAACACGTCAATGTTTTTTCCCTTGGAAACTGGTGCATAAATGCCATCCAGTGGCTCTTCTAAGAATTACAGCACTACTCTGAGAAATCACTTGTTTTGGCTGTTCGACATAGAGTAGAAATCAGCAGTCTTTAATTTCTAGTTCCTGCCTTTTGCTTCCCCACCCTGTTGTATTTTTTTCTTACAGGTTGTCTGGCGAAAGCTGGGTGATGCTGCGAGCTCCAAACCCTCCATCAGGCAACATCTTTCAGGAAACCAGTTCAAGGGGCCGTTGTAGGAGCAGCGTCCTGTAGACTGGCAGTGACTCCATGAAGACTAAAAGAGAGAGAGTTACTGTTTCTGGCTGCCTGGTCTCTGGGAGTCGGGGTTGATATTTTCAAGCTTTTTTTTTCCTATTTTTGCTTTTTTGTAACTGTCAATAGTGTAAATATGGCAGCTAAAAGCCTGATTTCAGGCAGTGGTGCTCTGGAACTGAGGTTCGATGGGTAACCATTCAGCAATGCCAGACTTGCATCATTTGTATTGTAGTCCAACCCTGCTTTGTTGTATGGTCTGTTTGTAGAATTAACTTGAGAGAATTTCTAAGAACAAGAAGAAACTTCAACGCGCAGAGACGTCACAGTTTGTCTTGCTTCTGTCCACCTGCTTGTTAACTGATTTGGGAATGGCTAGTGGCTGCAGGCAGCGCATTTTCAGAACCTTCCAAGGAAACAGCAATTTGAATTCACTGGTTTACAGGCTGCCAATTTCCTAAGCTGCTACTGTTTGTTTTGGAGGTCCTGACTTAGGGGAAGGACATATGACTGTTTCCCAAGGCGCTGTGCAGAGGGATTAAACACTTGTCCCGCTTCGTACACTCTGCTGTGGTGCCTGTCTCACAAGCATCCAGAAGAGCTCAAGACACTGGAGGAGCTGTTAATGACTGATTTTTCATGAACAAATGACACTCATGACTTCTGCAGTCATAATGTGAATGAACTGAAGACCCTCAGCCAGGCGCCAGTATTCCCTACAAATCTGGCAACACTGTTCCCGTAAAGCTTTTCTTATCACACAATTCAGCAGAAACAGCCGTCCTAGCAGCACTTATGGCTTTCACGGTATCTTCAAGAGCAGCTCATCTTTCACATCTGGAAGATTTGGGGTTTTTTTCTAACCTTCCTGCTGGAACCCTCACCTATATTGGCTACCGCATAAGGTAACCAACCAGCAGCCTTGCAGAGCTCAAGTGTAACACGGGCTGTGGGGTGAGACTCCTTCCTGCCATTGAAGCTTTATTTTTGTTAATGAACCAAAACAAGTGGGTTTTTCCTCCTTCAAATGGTTGTACATAAAAACAATGGGACTTTTATTTTGTTAGTGTGGAGTAGCTGCTTGTATAGGTGTAGTAAGAATTTGGCCCCCTTTCTTTTCCAACTTGTCACAGCAACTGGCCCTGTATTTCAGTAGATGTTTCTCCCCATCTTTTCCTGATAGTCTAAGGAAGCTGGAGCTTGTTATTAAACCTATTGGTGTAAAATAATGTTAAAGCCTGGCGAGTGTAAAGATCAACACCTCCTCTTCAAAAGTTGCATTGTTTTGGTGATTAGCTTGAAGATTTAGTGGCTTCAAACCTCAATCCCTTTTATTCTCTGTAAGAATCATTCAACTGAGAGTTGAACTGGCTTGACAGGCTCTTGCTGCTAAGAGAATTTGTTCTACTAGTTCAATTCTTGACTCCTGTTGTTATATTGATATGGAGCACCAATAAAAAATCAAGGAGCTAGTGCTTGCAAGTTATAAAACAGGCAGTTGGTCCCATTGTATAGAGTATAACTAGCTGCCTGGAAAGACTTAATTTGCGGGGCAAAGCCTAGGTCTGTAACCCATAAAAAGCTAAAGAATACAACCAAGTATGTACTAACGCATAAAAATAAGAACTTCATTATAGGGTGTAGAAATAAAAACCTAACAGTCAAGATAAGCAGTTTATTTTAAAAAGGAGAGCTCAAGAACAAGATACCCTCCCCCCAACCGAGCCCCTTGCCAGTAGCTCATTTCTCCAGTGAGCAGAGACCGGGCTGGTGACTGGAACCCTAGTAAGTCCCTGCATCCAGTGTGAGTCCAGAAAAATCTATTCTAGAGTATGACTGTCCTTCAAAATATGACACCTCTAGAGGATTCCTGATTTCCTCCTCATTTTTTGTTTTGCCTGTTTTCTCATTACCCTCCAGTCTCTATTAGCCTATGGCGACTTTTTCTTCCTCCTGCATAATTTACATGCTGAGATTTTCCTACCAGAAACGGTGGTGTGTTTCTGCCCCTTCCAGAGAAGGGGAAATCAGACACCTCGTTCTTTAACATCTAATATTTAACAGAGGGTTACTTTAATCTATCTGCTCACAAACCCATTTTAATTTTGGTGGAATCTAATCTCTGGATTAAGGCAGAGAATTTAACCACATTGGGAGCAGGGTTAATTGAAACCAGTGAGTTTTAACTACAGCAATGTAAGCGCTGCCAACACTTTTAGAAAATGTGTTGATGACGTGCTTGCTATTTTAGGAGTGTATTAGACTAGCAGGTCCTCTCAACAGGATGAGGGATGCTAATCTGACTACTGTTCTGAACAACCATGAAGCTCTCAAACAAATACTCCCCTTACCAAACTTCTCAACATCTATTTGGCGAGGTTAAGCCAAGTCTGTTTCATTCCACCTGCGGATCTCACCTACAAGGGATGCGGTGCTGTAATCACGGTCCAGCAGTGTTACAAATCCTAAAAAGCCAATTTACAGGGTAGCCAGTTACTTCAGTTGAATAATCTTCGTACTTGTAGGCTATCATTTGTACTTTAAATGATTTTATTTGGCAGCCTAAGTCCTCAATGCAAGATGTGCATTTTTCATTTATAGAACAACATAACAGTGTCGTATGTGGAGCTTGTTTGTTTGGGCTTGCTACTCTTCGTACCTAGCTCCACTTGAGCTAAACAGTGTCTTCCTGGGGGAAAATGACACTCAATGACTTCACAGGATGATTTGGGTGCTACTTTCAACTGTCTAAAAAAGCAGCTTTATGTGAATATTGAAATCCATTTAACTATGCGCTAGGTCTTCAGTGAAAACTACGTGAGGAGGTTTGCACGTTAGCTGGAGGGGAGCATCCCTTGAAATAGCAGCCAGGACATGGATACAGCGGGGGTGACAGCCTAAAGCTCCTTTCCTCAACACCCTGGGTCTGCCACCTCCGCGTTCCCACCAGGCTCCGCGTGCTTAGGGAGAGCGGAACCACATCCCGGCCCGTTTCCGGGGCAGGGAACGGCCTTCCCAGAGGAGGGTTTGGAACGCTGTGGGGGTAGCGCCAGCTCCCGTTGGCTCTTTGCACCTTGGTAAGACTGCTGAGCACAACCTTGTTTGAGAATGGCACATTTTTATCCAAATATAAAAATATAAAAGAAAAAAAAAAAGAAAAAAAATCAGTGTTAAACCCAAAAATTATCTTTTTAGAAACTGTGGGGGAAGAGTACTACTGATCTTTTTCAAAGTGCATGACTGTAAAGTGATAAAACTGTATATTTTTCATAATGTGGGGAAAGTCTATCTGTGCTGCTTTGGAAATCAGTCTGAAATTTGATTTCTGTTAAATCTGTGATATTACAGCCCTGCTATATTTTCTGTATATGATTTACAAAGAACTGGAAAAGTTAGCACCTGCTGTTGTGTATATAGCAAAATTCTTTAGATCTTAGCACACGTTTTTACCTATTATTGAACCACTCTGTTTTTTGGGGGGAGGGAAAATAATAGTACAGATTTTTTTGATAATGTGTGTAAAACATTCATTTGAAATATTTTAGTAAAAATGAAGTAAGAGATTGATTGTGATAGTGTATACTTTTAGTTGAATAAAATAAAATTACATTCTTTCTAAATAAACTGATGAATAAGGTTTGGAAGACCACTGCTGAAATATCTTGCCATGTGCCACAGCTATGAATTCTGAACTGACGTGAAAAACTCGGAAATCCACTATATTCAGAATCAATTTTATTTGGGTAGGTGTGAATGAAGTAGTCCCATTTATAACCAGGATGCAAATCACAGTAGGTTGTTACATTCAGACTTTCACACTTAGAAAATATATATATTATGTACAGGAATCTGCAAATAGGTGTAAACATACAATACTTTTAAGATACCAGTACATTCCAAAACAAAAATACCAGCAAGGCAAACACCTCAAAATGATTTCAGTCATCTAGCATTCAGAATCTCTTTTAAATAAAGTAGCTTTAATGCTTGACATCAAGCCTTGTTTTAATTGTTAATGAAAATGAAGCTTCTTACCGTAGATGAGATTTCATGGTATCTGGCTATTTTGATACTCAAAAATAGGCACTGATTTCTAGAAGGAAATTTACTTCTTACTGATATAATTGAGCCAATATGGCTGGTTAACATTTCTGCTAGTACAAAGTAATCCAGTGCTGGAATAACTTGAGACAATTTAGACTTCAGTCAAACGTATAAAGTTAGAATAGATACTGCAAAGCTAATTAAAATCTAGAAGCCTATATAACTCACCATAAACAACGCAAACAGATCAGCTAGGTTCCCATTTCATGGCCTCATTTCTTCATCTAAACGGTACAAATTCTCCTCCTCGTGGTCTTTACGAGATAGTTTGTGGCGGCGGCCCCTCGGTAGCTGCTGCTATCTCATCCAGGTGGCGCGGCCCAGCCCCGCCACGGGCGGCAT